TTTTATTGTTATTGCGAGCATTTGTAATTGTTGATTTGACAAGTGGTGAACGCACACAAACATAACAACAACAATGTGAATGACAAGACTACAGTATAATGCCTGAATTATATGACAGTTATTGATTTTCGTGTCACCACAAATGTGTATGTAACTGTACTGGTGGCATTGAAAGGACTAATTAACCGCTTTTAAAAATAAGAAATAAAACAATATAAAGTTAAAATACATAAATATAGAGAATCGCAATTGAACATTTTTGCATTAAAATCAGATCTTCACTGCGGACAACGAAATTATGCAACCATCAATGGCATTTGAACCCATCGACGCTTCATCAAATATGCTTTCTTAAGCGAAACAATGGAAGGGCTTATTTCTCAGTTCGTATACGCACATACTTGTAGTACAGCAGCCGAAATGAATTTTCCGGTAATTAAATGTTTTGAAATCTATAGTGAATAAGAAACAATAAGTCGTTCCTCATTTGGTTTTCAACGCAAAGACTTCAGGCAGATATGTTAAGTATAAAGTGTGTGGTGGTGGGTGGGAGGCTAGTGTCTGGCGGGAGTTTATCTAAACTTAAGTGCGAGTGAACTTTTAACCGCATTCCAAGTATTTGTATGTATAGCGCCTGCGGGAAAGCATTAGCTGGTGGCAATCACAAGCCAGTGCAGAGCAACAAACATGAAGGAAGCGGTGATGTGCAGCATCTGGAAGTATATACATACATACGAAATAAAGTGCTCGAAATAAGTACAGCGCAGATGCCGGCCGATAATCCACCCGTTCAACCATTCCCTCATTGACTCAGCTCTTCTGCCGGTCTGTCAATTTGACTGTCGACTAATTGCAGCACCGAAACGGCACGCAGCGCCAGGCGAAATACAACTGTATTTGGCGTTCGATGCCACTCATATAAGTTTTCGACGCGTCGTTGGCAAGCCGACAGCAAGTGTGAAGGAAGCTGGAGTCATTGTGTGCAGGCAATAGACGAGTGGAAAATTCGATTGCGCGCCTGCTATTGTATTACCAAATGAGTTTTGAGTTCGCTAGCGAAGGTCCTCTCTCATTAGGTTATTATTTCGATACAAAGATGCCGGCAGCATAGCCCACGGCTTAGTAAAGATATGAGAAATGACAGCAATGGCTTTTTTACTTGTAGAGCTGTGAAGCCATGATCTAATGAAGAGAAGCCCGATCACATAGCAGAAAAATCTGAGGAGTTCCATATTTTACTGATTCGATTCAAAGTTAGGCAATACTTAGTACGGCTGACACTTTATATAAATATGCGAGACTTCGTTCGTGTTTAGAGAACGTAGATTTGGACTCAAGCAAATGGAGTCATATTTGAGAAGCTCTATTAATTTTTTAGCCTGCTGAGCAGGTTTATATGCAGTACTCTGCAGAATTTGTAATTTGCTTTTGTTTTCTAATCTATAGAAGCCATATCAAAATTTTGCTTCGCGGTGTATATGTCTGGAGAGTAGTTATAACATAAACACCAATGAAAGCAGTATCTAAACACAATCCGAGGGCGGCTAGAACTCCTAATCATATGATATTATCAGAGTTTGTTTACTTATAAATTGCCTACACAATATTGCGTTGACTTCAGAACAGTAATAAACTAAATATTAACACAAATAATACAAATTTATAAACTAAATACAAGGAAGTTTAAGAGAGAGCACGCGGGTGAAGAATAACCAAATTATGTAGTGTTGAAAAGCGAATAAATAGTGCCAGAGGCAACACAAGAATAGTGAAAGCGACAGGTGGTAACTAACAGACGGCGAGACAGACAGAGAGACAACGAGTGACATGTGTTCACACCTACCCCTTGCCTAATCTTAACACGGAAGTTGTTGTTTTTTGGTTGAGCGTGTGTGCGGACGGGGTCACCATGTGGAGCGCATGACATCAGCCGCGTACGAGTATAATGAACAAAATAAAAGCAAGTGAATTTCATATGGCAACCTAATTCTGGGAACCTAACGGAATGAATATTTCATGAAAGTGAGAATAGTACATAATCACTTTGATTCAAAGTAAAAATATTATTATTTATTGTTGCATGCAGCAAAATAGGAATATTATTTTGTAAAAGGGGTGTGACGTGTGCGCAATTACTTTTTCAATACTTTTTTTTATTAGTTCTATTTGTGATGAATTCTGCAGTTTATTATTTAGGTTTCTTTTTTTCGTGCCAGTTGGCATTGCGCAAAGTCGGATAACCTATTTATTTTCTAAGTAAATATAAAAGCAATTAAGTTTGCATTAATATCACGTTATGCACGAAAAACGCCAAAACACACAAACAACAGCTGAACAGGCGAAATGAATAGCAAGAAAAAGCGCTTTATTTATAAAAATCATTTTCAGCCAATGCTTTTCCGAATAATTTGCGATGCGCAAAAGACTTGCTATATTTATTTTTCATATCCATAATAGAAGGTGGTTGGTTATGCTCGCTTTATTTGACATTGAAAATACGCTCAAGAACAAAAAATGTGTATGCATTGCAAAATTTAGAAAATTTATAGCACACTTATTGCAAAATATATACGCACATATGTTTGTATGCAATAAAAAAGGAAAAAACGAAAAAAATAAATCTATAATAATCTAAATATACATACAACGACAGCATTTGTACATATAATATCTTGTCATATATAGGCCGATCGGGATCTTTGTATGTCATGTGTAATTCTTGTCGCTATAAAAGTTCCACACGAGTATAAATTAGCCATAGAAGACTACCTTGCGGACCTCTTTTTCGCCGCATTCGCAACAGTTATTATATAACAATAACAGAAATCATAATAGCACAAATAGTGCGGAAAATTTATTACGGGCGGAGTAAAAACCTGAGTATTGCGACCGATCAGCAGCAAAACTTCACATGGGCGCTTATTTACAAAAAAAATAAAAATAAAAATAAAAAATAAAAATGATGTATGTGTGTAACGTGTGTGTGTGTAGGTGTGCGCTACAGGTGGTAATTCAACGACAAAACAAATCAGAACAAAATCGTACACAAAACAGCTAAAAGCAAATTAAAAAGCAGAGCGTTCATTGTTGCTTCATCGCAACCGCACAGCCGCACAACCGCGCAACCGCTCCATCGCCCAGATAACTGCTATAAACAAACATACATGGCACACTCACAAAGTATGTACATATGTGCATTAACATTGCTTAGCTCGAATTGCCGCTTTGAAGCGAAGTTGCGGCGCTAAAACAAAGGCACGCGGGCGACCCGGGTTGAGGCGGCGCGAATGGCAAAGTAATTGAGTTCGAAAGAACGGGCATTAGCAGCAAAGGCAGTTCGACTGATGGGGCGGCAAGAGGTGAATGCATGGCAAAATTAACAATGAGTTAACGCCAAAAAGCATATCAAGAAAGAATGGGTGAATGAATTTTTACAAAACATTTGCAACGGTGCGTTCGCAGTCAGATAAACAAATAAACCTATTGCGAATTATAGCAGTGGCACACACATACATGGCACACACCTTTGTGTTTGCACGAGCTCTAAATTAGGCCGTCCGAGCACATACACACAAATATACAAATGTCTGTACGACCATTGCGAGCGATTCGTACGTGTATGCTAATGTGGAACGCGTACACGGAGAGAAATCGAAACTCTCAACTTTTTTATAAAATTCGAAGACATAAACTACACGATGTTTTCATTTTAACAGAAGAAAACCATCTGTGTAACAGTACCATCCAGAAATACAATACCACGAAATATGGCACAGTTGTTGCATAATTGGAGGCGCTTAGACATGATATGCAATGTTTTCGAGGATAATTGGTTTAACAATTGTCAAGATTGTGAAAATTCATAAATGAATGATAATTAAATTTAATTCATTTATACTATTTATATTTTTAAAATAAATTTTTGTAAATATAAATAATGTATAAATTATCACCGGGTTAGTCGCAAGTTTGCCGCTATGATTTTTGTCAGTGCATTTACCTTTTGTTTATACCATGGCAAAACTTTTTATGACACTTTTCGTTCAATTCTATTTGCTGTTGTTTCATTCGAAAACGTCCAAAAAATTTACATACGCATCGACTTCCGCTCTTTTCACCTTTCGGAAAGCAACGGGCATCAGTCCACTTTTTATATTCGCAAAGTCTGTCAAAATTACTCGATTATTATGCTAATCCAAGTAAATATGTATGTACTAGCTTGTGCATATAGCCCGCAAGCATAGCGGATATGTTTGGATGTACATAGATATGTAAGCAAATGTACTCGTATAAGCCGCTCAAATTTTGTGTGCGGTTTGCGGCGAGAATATTGTGGGCTTGTGTGGCAATCAGTTCGAATATGCATTAAGTCTTTCATTAAGCGCAATGCAAAGTAGGTGAGTATGGACACAAGCGTCTATATTTACATAGATATGGGGTTTATATGTACTACTATATGTATGTGCATATATATGTATGGAAGTGTGTGGCTACTACAAAGTGTTGTAGGCAATTAGCTTGCAAAATTCGGCACATTTAGCATTTATGGGCTCGTTCCACGAACAATTCGGTAGCTCGTAACTTCAGATTTCCTTTGATAATCGATTTCTGACACAAATTCAATTAATATTTAAACCGAGTACTTTTCTTTACTTATTATGGGTTTGGGTACAACAATTTCGCCTGAATGCATATTTTTTAGAACAACAAAGAAACAATTTGGGCAGAAATATGACTTCGGCACAGTTTAAATGAAAATAATGCGCTTGTTTACCGTTTTGTTCCTTTATTAGGGTAAAGACTGAAATTTCAGAGGGCGTTTGCAAAAAAAATCAACTTGGAAAATAACGAAGACCCTAATGGACATATACCATACATAACATATATTTATGATATGTATAAAAATTTAATTGTCGGCAATTTTTTTTTCATTTATATAAAATATGCTTATTAGTAAAGAGTAGTTTTTATATTTAAAAAGAATTGGAAAATTTACTCACCATTTGGCAGTCGTTTCTAGGCGCAGTTCATGATAGGATGAGGTAAATTGAAATTTGGCGGCCCGTTTATTGACGCGCTGCAAACGCTTCCAAACGCTGCCCATGACGCTGGCAGCTGCCGCCGAGGTGGTCTGCAGGTGCTGCAGGGCACTAACCGTCGATGATTCGAAGGCGGCAAAATATACAAGAAATCAGCACCAAATCAAAGGCGCTGAGCTGAGGCGAGTTGAGAGGCTTAATAATTATATGTAATTAAACTATTTTTTTTTTACAGGTGACTGGTGTCTGTTAGTTTTTAGGTTTTCACTGCTCTGTTTTATTTATTACTATTTGTACACCTGCTGTGGCTATGCGGCGTTCTTTAAATTTTTATGTTTTTCAAAAACACTTTGCCGATTCTTTTCCGCCAAAGTGCCAAAAACTATTTTATTTATTTTGGTAAATAGTTAATGAAAAGCTGAAGAAGATATGTATGTATGTATAGATATGCTCAAGCTGCGCGTTAATTAACTACCATTTGTACAACAACAACGACAACAACTAAATTCTCACAAAGAACTGCACAATGTACGATACGTCCGTCGCGTGTGGTAAACACTGCCACTGACCACACGCTGTGACGCGTTCTTTGTCCAAAACAAGAAAATAAAGAACATGACACAACAAGCGAAAAAAGGGTGCTTATATCTATGTATCTAATATTGGCTTCGAGGCACAGCAGTTGCCTCCGCCTCTGTCTTTTCTTATCTTCTTTGGCTTTACATCATGTTGTCTTTTGGCAATTGTGACTAAATCTCTAAAATACACATATACATCATGCACAGCTTCGTATATAAGTAGTACATTGTGTGCACACACATTACACATACATACATATGTATGTAGGTATAAGTTATTATTGGCTAGAATGGAGGTACCCGTTTTGCTTAAACCAATCTCACTTTGTCCGGTCTTCTTGCGAAAGTCATGAAGATTTTATAGTTTTTCTGTTGAATTTCTGCAACGCATTGTTGTCGAATTATTGCGTAGCACTTTGAGTTAACAGCTGCTGTTCCCAGTCACACCACTTGTTGTATTTGTCCATTTATTGACGCACTGTCATGTGCTCGCACGCTCGGATTAGCACTTTGGGAGCTCCGTTACATGGTCTAGCAGTTTAGCTGAGGAATTGGCACATATATGTATTAACAGCCGAAGACACATATCTCCATAGGTGTTTAATATACTACATATGTACATATATATAATATGTATTGTATGTAGTGTAATTGTTTGTGTGTTTGCCAATATTCCTTTGGCATCAATCATTACTGACTTATTTATAGACGATCTGCGACTGTAAGTCAATTATAAATATGGTACAGAGGCATTTTCTTGTTGCCATTGCATGCTAACGTTTTAATGAGTTTTACTGTTGTTGTTTGTGTGCCAGCTATGTTAAAAGGCAATTTACACTTTGCGTGGAATTAGGTAAACAACGCAATTTCTGCTACAACCGATTTGTCTGATATGTCAAATATATATGTATTGTCGTGCGCTTGTATTTGTTATTGCCGTTGCATATATGCACCAGCATTCATACATGTATGTATATATAATATGTGTATGTAACATGAATGTATGTACGAGTATGTATGAAAATACGAGACTGGTTCAACGCATTGATAACCCGAACTTGTCTATTTTCAATGTTATTTTATAGACTTGAGTGTTAATGTACATACAGATGTATGTATATATATATACACATATGTACTTATGTAAGTCCGTATATACCCTTATGTGGAAAGTGATAAAAAAAAGGTAAACAATATAATATTTGTAGTCCATAGGCAATTTAATATTTAATTCATCGAAAAAATGCTAAGCAAACTAAATTCCAAAAATGACATAAGTCTAAAATAGTAGGAAACAAATATCTGAAATTCAGTTTTTTTTTTACAATAAATAACTTGATAAGTTTATATACAAATACAATAATAATAAAAATAAAATCCAACGATATTATTTATATTTTAAATATAATACAGGTTCTGTTCAGAAGAATTTGACACAGTTGATTTGGGTTTTAAGTTCCCTCCTGAATGACGAGTACATAGTATACAATGGTATATATTTTCGAGGGTTTTGAAAGGTATTATTTCGTGTTGCTTAAAATTCTTAATTTATTTTAAAATGTGTATATATGTCTGTAGGCATCAGCTGGTCATATACCATCATACTATCTGTATCTTTTGCTATACTCTTATAAACTCAAGTTTCGCACTATGGACACAATGCTGTGCCGCTGAGAATACTGAGAATGACACTTCGATTGACAAGCTATATTTTGCCATTGGACAACAGATGTGTTAACATAAATTTAAGTGTTTTGAAGAGTATAAGACGATATACCCTTTAATTTTATCTACTTTTTTTTCTTACTTGTATTTATATAGTACATAAAGTTGCGAGCATGAAAATAGCAGTAGCTTTGCTAGTTTTATATAAATCCGTAGACAATATTTAGCAACTTAAAAGATAAACGTTCTTACTTTAAAATGTTCTGGTAAATCAGTACAGCCTACGTTAACATCGAAATGTTAGTAAAATATGGTAGCATTGAAAATAATGTAAATTTCTGCTGTAAACATATGTTTCAGTGAAACATTAAAATAGCAGTGTTTGAGAAATCAGAAATTTTTCACTTCTAATTAATTAAAATGGACATGTATTTATGTCGTGCTATGAAGTAATATCATGATCAGCCCAAAAACAACAATTTGTCAAAAGTAATTGGATCCATAATGTCAAAATCAGCCGTTTTGCCTTGTATTTTGCTTTTATGATTCAAAAAAATAAATGTTCAATGTTAAAAAACCAATGAAAACCCGTTTTTTAAGTAATAATTGAATACGAATAGATTGTTAATCTCACAAAATCATCAAATTGTAAACGGAAAATCCATAACAAAAACAAAAATCAGTTCGTTTGACATTATGGATACAGACGCTTCTTTCGTAAGAGGAAGCACGCACCGTATCGGCACAACCTTATATGATGGAATCATGAGTAATATGTTTGAATGAAAAACATTTTGATCTTGTACATAAATTTGAAAATATTTCACTTTCTATGAAAACATGACGGTACTGCTATTTTCATGTTCGCAGCTGTATGTATTTTGGGCTACTTTCTACACCAGCTCAAAATATCCCGGGGTAGCAGCTACCTCACCAATACATTTCTAACATACCCAAAAGTATATAGGGTACTTCTTCCTATAATCCTATTGACATTTACAGTTGCTCGATAAGGATTGTTTTCAAAGATATTAGGTGCCTAAAATTAACATTAGTTGCTCATTTTTAACAAGGGCATATTTGATTATTCCACTGCTGTGTAGCAAGCAATGAGCTATGCGCCTGCGCGGTGAAAAATCAAGCAAGAGTTGTTTGAAGAAACACTACCACACACATAGAGTTTATAGCCAATATTATTCCACGTTACATGAAGGACTATATCCCCCTATACATTAATTTCACTACGCTCCATTTGATCCGCTGGTCCCTCAATGCCTTTACCTATCATTCTTGTTTTCATTCGTATACGAGTGCTTTGTTGTCTGTCGCTGTTGTTGTTTTTCTCTTCTTTTGCAGAATGGGTTTCGTAGTAGTTCTTGTTTTAGCGACCTTTAAAAGTCACCTATTCATTTCTCTTTCGTCTTGATTTGTTTTCTTCTGCAGAAGTACATTCAGTATTATTACACATTTTCCTCAATATTTTTGCACACACACATTTTTCGTTTATACACTACACCTAGATAATGGCGAAGAGCAAAATTAAAGACAATAAAACACAACGTCAAAGCCACCCAATTGATGACAAATCGGACTTTGCAAGGCTTAGTATTTCCACCCGTTGACCAGACCATAAACTATGACGTCACTTTACCAAAAATACTAACATTGGCATTGGCACAGCTCAGCAAAAATTCTCGGAGCTAATCCAGACGATTGGATATCCTGGTCTGCCCACAAACTTTGGAATATAGCTGCACATATGTATATGAATTGTAGTATTCACGGCATTCCATTCACTCGGACAAAGCCATAACACAAGCTCGCTCACCCCTTAGAACAGCATCAATATAGAATTAGCAACAATTTTAAGGAAAATATCGTAAAATTTTATTCTGTTTCAATAAAATCATAAATTTCGGTTTCCACTTATTCTTTACGAATATTTTTGCTACAAACACTTTGCACTTTAATTCGCTGTTTTGCACAATGAACACAACACTGAAAATAGAGACGGCTGCACACACTTCACACCTACATCACACAAGTGTAAATGAGTACGCTACATATACCAGGAAAAAGTTGGTAGAGATGAGAGAACGACGGTGAGTACTACGGCGTAGACGTTGTCGTAAACTCGCGCTCACACACCAACGAACCCAAACACACCACACACCTATTAGCATGTATATATATTCACCGTCGTCACTAATAATTCCATGCGACAACTAAAATCAACCAAACCGTTTTAACGCGTTGTTCAAAGTGTACTGAACTCAGCTGATTGCTGCACCACAGAAAATGTCAGAGCAACCGTAGCGATGACGACAGCTGCGCATACCGATTACCTAAAATCATCGATAACTTTATTTCGGTTTCTTAAATTACGTTGTCTACACTTGACTGACGAAAGCCTAAAAACAATTGCAGAACTACTTTATATTTATTTTGTTGCCAGCATGAAGCATAATAATTTTTTGTCGTCTATCCTTGGCGAACATAAATCGATAAAGTAGTAAGCCAAATTGGTTATCACTAATCAGTGTTGGGCAATTGTCACCACGAAACGGAATCGGAAACAGGATGCTCTATGCGCGACAAAATCTATTGGGAAACTAGAAAGGAACAGAGTGACAAAGGGTTATAAAAATTTGATGCAAACAAAATAAAAACTTTATATAAAAAATAGCAGACTATATGTTTGAAATGAAAGCCTTCGTTTTATATTTTTAATTGCAATTTATTAATTTGTATTTCAATCTCGTGCTGCGCAATAAATTTATTGCCCCGTTAGTTTTGCATTGTAATGCTTCAAATTTTGACTAAGAAAGTTTTTTGCTTTTATGTTTTATTCATACATATATATTTAGTACTTTATTTATTTTCAACGAACTATAGTGTTTTTGTTTTGCATTTGAATTGTTTCTTTATTTAATGTCTAATACTCAATAGAAGTCGTTACTTCTCTTATACACACATACTCGTACAAACCCTTAGAGGCTACGCTGCTTACTTACATACATACGTTACGTTACGTAACTAATCTACCAAAGAAGCTTTCTTCGCGTACAAATTTCCGAATTAAATCTCTACTCTCTCTCTATGTCTAACATCGCACTTTGATTTGATTTTCCGCCGCTTTCTACATACATACGCATATATATATTTTCTTAAAGTTAAATTCTAACATTTTAATAGCGCGCTAGCAGCTAGTTTATTATATCTTCACTTTAAATTAAAATAAAACATAAGTTAAATACAATAGTTAATATTTAATAAATCTATCGCTTGCCACAACTGGAATTATTTGTTTGTAGCTTAAAGGTTCTCTTACTCAACAAATTACAGTAATTAAAAATTTACAATTGTATCACTTAAATCGACGTTTATTTGCTTCGTGTGCAGTTTCCGAACTGCTTTTAGAGCGTGACACACTCTGGAATCTCTGTGGAGACCCTGGAATAGCTTTTACAAATCTTCTTTGTATAGTGCAATGGCCCAATTAAATCTATAATATATATATGCATTTATTATTAATTTGTGAGTTTTTGTTGACTGCTTTCGTTTTTAGATAGTTTAATTACATGTGTATGTATGTATGAATTCTTTATATTGTTTCACTTCACTAAATAGCTTATTAATGCATTTTCATTTTTGTAAAGCCCTCCGGTTTGAATCAAGGTTAACGGTTATCGCACATATATTTTCGGCCGTGCGACTAAAAGGCGGAAGTTGAACATTATTATTAATTAAATGATCATAAACAAAACTATCACACAAATTTAGAGTTTAGGAGATCGCCTGGCTGCATATTAATGTTTACATTTTTTGTTTTGTTAAAATGACACAAGGGTGGAGTCACTGACTTTGATCTGCCGCAGAGTTATTGGCTTTCCAAACGTTTTTGGGTTGTGTGTCCACAGAGCTGTGTGTGTATACCTAAATATATATTAAAAATATACTTTCTTACGCTTAACACTCACATTTATCATTCTACTTAAAGTTATCTAAAATGCAATGCTCTAGTTTATCAAACAACATGCCAGATTATATATATATATATATATATATATATAACCTCTTATGGTTTAAGTGAGTTATTTATTTATTTCCATTTTTTTATTAACTAGCGTGCTCTTAGAGGTGGGGCTGTGCGCATATTTGATGTAAACATTTCAAAATTTCAAACCAACTGGATCGTAAGGTGAAAGCTAAATTTACTGTGGGTCTAAAATGTTGCGTACGACTGCTTGCACAGCCCTTGCTAAAATACTCTTTATTGCAATTGCATGCAGTAGTCCTTTTTGTGTTGATTTCAAATTGTTTATGTGCCTGTGATCGTAAATATAGTTTTCAGTTGTTTTTTATGTTTCTTATTTATCTTTATTTTTATACTAAAAATTGTAAGCAATGTCAAATACTTTATAATTTATTTTGCTTAATTAACCTAATTTTTCGCAGTGTTTTATGTTTCAAACTTTGAAGAATGTATTTCATAACAATCAATCAATCACTTTGCTGTTTATACAGTGCTCTGCCATTTCGTTTCTAAAACGTTGTATGCAAATACCGTGCAAATCTATAAAATCTTCACTTTAAGTAGATACATATATGTAAACGTGTTTAGGTCTAGTAAAATCTAAGAAACGTTACATATATTGCAGCTACTAACTTAAAATCATTTTGCAATTCAAAAATAACGACATTAAATAAGCGACAATAGCTTGTATATACAAATAATATTTTCAATATTTCATTCGCAAGTGTTGCACAATCATTTATAATACAATTATTGAAATCCCGCTTATATACAACTTTCTTTTTAATGGCTCTATTTTGACTTGGCGCTGCATGATCTGTACACATCGTATAAAAAACGCAGATAATCTGCATTTAATCTCAAAACGCTTTGGCATTGGCGCAGCGTAATATTCGCTAGTTTCCAAAAAACACGAAATATTTTTCACGCTTTCACACTCATTTCTTTGTTTTTGTGTGCAATTTTACAAAACAAACAAGCAAATCGGACGCTAGAAAAAAGCTTAAAATTAATATGATTTTATACCAACAATTTAGTAAGATTATTTTCATTTTATCGACATTCATTTCACTTAATTTCACATGCTAATTTTATTTTAATTTATACTCGCTTATGTATGTATATCTAAGTCAGTTTGTTCAATTTTTCATTTGCTTTCTTCATTTCTTTTTGTAGTAAACAGAATATTTTGTTTCACTTGCTTTACATAGTTAATTGCATTTTACCACTATAATTTTTGTAATTATATATTTAATTAATAACTGGCCTCATGGCCAGCTAGAATGTAAAGATCATGTCCCTCCTCGCTGCCCAGCGAACCGGTGCGCAGCAATTGACTCTCCAAAGCGACGACTCTGCAAAGCGAAGACAAAGAAACAAATCAAATTAGTACTTTTTAATCTAACGGCCACGGAATAAGGCAATTACTTATCACAGCCGAGCAGTCGATATGTACGACTCATGTCCTTAATTTCTTGCGTTATTTCGCCGTTGCGCAACGACTTGCCCTGCATGCCGTGCTTGTGGAATGCTAATACGCTGTCAGGTAGACAAACTGCCAAAAGAAGTGTATACGTCAAATTAGTTTGCGAAGTGAACGCACAAATAATTTCAAAAATAACCAAACGATTGTTTTCTGTAATTCAAGTGGCAACCTTGCACATTGTATGCAGAACTAAGGCAGTCCGCAGCAACATTACTACCTACCTATGCTATCCACATTGAAATCGAAATTGAGCTGCGAGACCAATTTCTTGTGTTGCTTTGGATTACCCTGTAGCGTGACGATTTGTATGATGTTGCCATAGCAGACCAGTATCGCATCCTTTTCGACCTGATGCACCTTCACCACCTTTAACAGATCTCTTCGCGGCACCATTGTAGCCGTGGCATCGAAATCCAGATCGTCCGAATGAAACCAGCTGGCGCCTAACGAAGAAAGCCATGTAATAAAGTATTAGTAAGCGGCACACGTGTGACAAAAGCTCAGACTCACTATTCATATTGATCAGCTCGAGCTTCAGACAGCCGTTGAGGGCCTTTCGCACACCCGTGCAGACGATTGGATATTCCAGCTCCGGCGTGATGATCATCTCGAAGACGGGTGTGTGACCGTTCAGCACACAGCCATGTCCCCCGCCCAATATGCTCGATGCCGGCCACTCGCATTGCTTAAGCAGCATGAATTTGTTTAGCGGATCGTACCATTGCATGAGGAATATGCCACTGGGCGTGGCACCGCACAAGTACTTGTAACCGTTGTAGGGATTGCGTGTTACACAGCATTGGGTGCAGCCCTTGGTGTCGGGAACCTTTGTGGTGAGCGCAAATTTGCGCGGGACCAGTCTTTCGGGTATTTTGTTCATGTGCAGAGAGAAACGGTGCGTCTGCTTGGAATGTAATGCGATCAGATCGTGTCGATACAATTGACAAGATTTGCCTGGGCGTTTGGTAGAACAAGTATTAGCAAATGCAAGTTGAGGAATTTTCAAATGTTGCTCACCTGATAGACTCATGAGTACATCCTTAATCACATACAGCCAGGTGGTGCGACGCGGGAACAGCTGATCGATGACCGCATCGTGCAGCTCGTTCATGTTTAGATTGAATATGCCCTCGTCGGCGCCGATGAGTAGATGCTGGTCGCGCGTTTCGGGATGGATCCACGAAGCTGTGCAGTGTATGCGTAGTGGACAACCGTTGAAGATTTTCGAAAAGCATGCGCCCATATGTACCTTGGGCGTAGGCGGTAGGCCGTTAGATATGGGGCGTGGCGGGGTGTGGCGGCGGCGATGTGAGCGTTTCGGAGGCACGGGAGGCGTATTGTTGAGTAGATCCGGCTGCGCTTCTTTCTCCACTGCAAGCCAAAATTGAAACCAATTTATGTGATATATGAACGGATATTGGAGAGAAAAAATTGTTTTTGGGTTACCTTCGTCCTCTTGTGTACCGCCGTCGCTGAGACTGCGTGTTCTCGATGACTTGCCCATGTCATTGAGCAGGCCAATCAGCTGATCCATTGAGCTGTGCCGGCGTGGTGAGTCCTCCAGACCATTCTGCAGTAAAATGAGAAAGTGAAAATGTCAACTGAAATTTCCTTTCGGCGAGCGCGTCGAGTTTGCGCCTACGTACCTGATTACTCTCATGTCTATAATCACAATTGCTGTCGTTGCTGCCGCCAATCGCTTGTCCCGATGTGGGCGTACACTCACCCGACAACGGAGCCGCTGCACCGGCAGGGTTGGCTGAACCAGATGCCGTTGCCGACGTCGTTGCTCCGGATACACCAGTTGTTGTCGAATCGGTCACCGAAGTGTTGCTATTAAAATAATTGGCGCCATTATTACGTAGCAAATTAGTGAATAAATGTGACGTGGAAGCAGAGGAATGCATAAGCACATCACGAGCAAACGCGGACGAAGATGAGGATGGCGATGGAGAAGCGCCAACACCGCCGACACCACCACCAACACCACCAAAACCACCAGCACTACCAACACTACCACCGTTACTCCTATCAATTCCTAACACACCAACACCACTTCTACCGCCACCATTAGTACCACTAACACTGCCGCCTAAGCCTAAGCCAAAGCCACCGCCTCCACCACCACCGCCGACACCGCCGCCCCCGCCGCCGCTTTCGCAACTCAAATTGTCCAGTGGATTGTACAAGGAAGAGGACAATGACGTGTACTGCGATTGGCCATTCAGCTTTGCAGGCGTTCCAACTGCTGTTCCATAGGAGTTGCTGGACGAAGATGCCGATAGGCCGGTGGCACTGGTTGAGCGTGAATTTATATTGCTGCCGCTGGCGCCGCTGTTGCAGTTGCTGTTGCTATTACTGTTACTGTTGTTGGTGTAGTGCATGTAATGATGATGATGATGACGGTGATAATGTGGCTGCTGTTGCTGCTGTTGGTGGTGGTGCCGCGCATCGTTATCATGGTTGGCGTTATTGACCACAGCATCAACCGACGTTGTGCGCATGTTGGAGAAGCCGAAACTCAGTCCCAAATAAGCAGACATCGAATGCCCCAAACTGCTCGCGCTAGTGATCGAGCTGACGCCGTCGCCGCCATTCACAGTTGCAGCTGTCGATGGCGCCGCGGAGGTTGCAGAGCAGCTGCTGACGTCATCAGGCGCGGATGGCGCTGCGGCATCGTTGGCGCCGCCGACGCCACCGTTTTCATTGCCATTGCCGTTGCCATTACCGTTGCCGTTGCCGTTACCGCCATTGTGCGCGCAGTGGCATTCGGTGCTAAGCAGATCTTTGGTATCGGTTAACGGCAGGGTGGCTCTGTAAGGATGTGAGCAGTGAGCAGTGATCAGCAATCAGCGTGCGCGCGTATGGAACAAATGTGAGATGAGCGATTTGGGTGACACCGAACACAAAAAGGTGACGAGCATGAAGGTGAGAGCGGAAGAAAAAGATATAAAAGGCGACAAATGAGCAGTGATTGCTGTGGGAGCGTTTGTACGCCTAAAACTAGGCTATCTTATGCATGTATGCATATATATATATATATGAATTCACTTTCTACGAGACTATAGAGCGAAATTATTGGATGCTTTATATAGTAGATACATGTGTATGTATGTGTAAATGCAATGTAGCGAGTTGATGCGTTCTGCTGAGTAATGTGTGTTGTTGTTCTGGTTTATATGCATTTTACAGTTAATTATGTAATTTGTTGTTGTATAACTGCGGTTCAGTAAGCGATTATGAGTTTTTCTCTAAAAGTTATACAATTCTACTTATTGAACAAATGACAATTAATTAATACAGTTATGCGGACGAGAGATTAGAGATGCTGTTGTTTTTGTTATTTTTGTTAGTGAAAATTTGTGATTTAAATGGAATTTATGGTATTATAGTATTTTTATTAGAGAGTAAGTATGCAGTTAAATTATATTCGACAACAAAACATACCGTTATTTCGAGTAAATGAAGGAAATTATGTGCGCACATTAATAAAAATAAATCGGAAAATATGTTATGTACATATAAATACATATATGAGAATGGTATGTATGTAAGTATGCGAGTACGTAAGGAAACACACACATAGAAGGCATGCGGAGGCTCTCGAACTAATCCGACGACGATTAGTGTTGGTTGCTGTGTGGAGTTTGGTGATTTTGGTGTTTTGTGGACTGTTGACTGTTTTATGTAACTCTTAAGCTTTAAATTAAAGCCAACTTTTCTCAGGGCATTACTTTTAGAGACTCGAACTAAGTTGTCTTGAGCTAAACCAAACAAAAAGGAGTTTGTATATGTAAAATATTTGATGTCTAAAATGAAATTGTTCGGTCAACAATTTGGTTGCCGTCGAATTTGCGCCCATTAATGCCGGTATTACTGTGCAACTATTGGACTCAATATGTAGCAAGCACATTATTTATATTATCAATAGCTTAATGAAAAAAAAATTATAATTTTTTCTTGTATTTGCAAAATTAATAAAAATTATAAAAGCCTAGTTTATAAAGTAAACATGTATGTGTGTGTGTGTGTCACCTAAATATAATTTTTCTCACATTGGTTTGCTTTGCTCCTCTTCTACTGATCAGACGCACACACAGCAAACGAATTTTTATATTTTACACATTGCTGCTGTTGGATTAATAATAAAAATAATAAAACAAAAAATTAAATAAAAAATACAACAAAGCGAAACAAAAAAATCAAAAGTCGTTTTAAAAGAAACAAGAGAAATGAATGATACGCTATGATAAAATGGGAAGCGCTTTACATGCAAACTCAAAATTTAGAAAAATAATTAGACATTCAAATCACACACATATGTACATACATATATGGTATACTACAACAAAGAGAAAGAAGCGCACATGTAGAATATTTTTTTGGAATATTAAGCATACATTAAGGCATCATAGACAAACAGACATAACGATGACCACCAATATATACATACATACATATATAAACAAGTAAGCAAATAGGAAAACATAGCAGCTTTGATTGTACCAAAAAAAAAAAAAAAAAAAACAACACAAAAAAAATATACACATATTATAAATGCAGAAGGGACAGCACAGATTGCTGATTGAGTATAAAAGAGTGGTGCTATAACTGTAATAGTGTGTCCAATCAGATAACGAACACCACTTATATGCCACATAAAGAAGCACCTCTCACTTGGCGGTGCTTATACATGTTAGAAATTATGAAAAACTATAATTTAAGTTAATTTTACTCATCCGTGGACCATAAAAAGCCATTGAAGGGATTTATGCAATCTCGAATTTGATGATCAGCTCACGAATAGAACCCTACCAGGGCTATAGAGAATCCATAAGCAAATTCGTATTTAAAATTTCCTGCAGCCAAAGAAAATATTACTATAATTGTAGCTAAATTTTCACTATCCAAGACAGTGTACCTGCTGTGTTGGCAAATATTGCGATATGCTAGATATGGGTCGGCATGTGTTCTTTTCTCAGAAATATATAAAAATTTAATGTATTGGAAATTATGTGGAGCACAAACGTCCATAAGATCGAGGCACAAAGAACTCGCAAAGTGTTAAAAACATACACACCAACACCAACACAGTTGCGATACACAAATATGCACATTTGGGATTTCTGCGAGATTAGCGCTATGACAGCAGCAGACTACGCTATTTTTATACAACGGTACATATGTATGTATGTACAAGAAAATTGTCTATTTTGTCTATAACTAGCATGCAAGGAGGGAATGCTAATAAAAATATACACAGAAAGCGAAAATAAATTGCATATAAACTAGAAATTGATGGGTGAAGGGTAAGAGTAAGCGGTCGTATTGAAATTTATGAATTGCCAATTTGATGATGCTTACTTATGGAAATGTGTATATGTGTCTGTGTGTTTTGTGTTATGCAAAATTATATGTGAGGTGATTTACTATCATAATTTTGCTCAATTTGGCGACAACCAAAAACAGGCAAATTTGTGCATTTGAAGGAGTCCTGAAATATTTTGCTGAATTGGTTTTACATTTCCACAAAAAAAAATGGAAGAATTTATGCCAGAATGAGAGAGACAAAAAATATTTTTAATTCAAGCTAAGTTTAAGCGATACTTGAATACTTTCTCTTAGTAGAAAAATCCGTAAATAAATTAAAAAAATTAATTTTAATTATGTAAGATTAATAATTCATTAATTTAGTGGTTCTGGTGAATAATTATTTAATTAATTTCTACTACCTCTTTCAGGCGATTTAAATGCACAAGCTTGCGAGGGTTGCTCTCAGGGTTTAAGCTAAGATAATATTAAGTAATAAATTATAACAGTATAATAAAGCATTGATAAAAATTATAATAACTAAATATAAATAAAATAAATGATAAAAGCAAAAAACTGTTTAGTTTCATATCGTTTATGGCAAAAGCTTCGCTCGTGAATTATGGAAAGAACTGTTGCGTATGACTATGAATATCTGAGTGACGTTTTCTCGGTTCTTCGTATAAGTAGAACACTAACTTTAACATTTCGACGTGATTCGTGAGCATTTGACAAAAAAAAAATGCTTTGAAAAAAAATGGATATCTTTGCACGCCATTTGCAGTAAATGTTCTGATAGTTGTATTTGTAAATGTTTTTGTTGTTATAATTGTAAGTATTTACCTTAGCTTTAGCTCCTCATCAATATACTGTAAGAGGCTCCTACAAATAACACAAACAAAATGCAAGAAGAAAAAAATAACAAAAACAGCGTAAGAATGAGAAAATACATCAAATACAATCAAAATTCAAATATTTTTTCAAATGCTGTGGCAAAAACAATAATTTATAAAATAAAATATTAAAAAATAAATTTCTAAATTCAACAAAAATTTGGAGATAGGAAAGACGCTTGTTTCTTTACAGCGGAAAGGTTTTAAAAAACAAAAAAAATTGTGTTATAGGGAAGAGAGTAGGCAGGATATTCAAATGGAGGAGTAGTGGTTGGTTATAAGTTATAATACAGTTATAAAGAGAGAAAACGTGCAAAGAATTTTCAAATACAAATTAATTAAATTGAAAAACAGAAAATTTTGAGGTTAAAGTGCATGCGGTGTCACGCGACGCAGAATTCAACTTTTGCCCCGTGACTTTTTATTAACTCGTATAAATTAAAAAGCGAATTGGCCACGCGCTGTGCCTCAATAGCAGAACTGAGGCGAGACTACGAAAATGGCAAAAAAAAATTAAATTTGTGTTCGCTCTCATAAATTGGAAATTACAGTTTCAATATTGCAAATACAAATGCAAATAAGCACACAGGCGCATATATTTTATTTTTATTTCGTTTTGGATTTACGGCACAACGTGTGTATGTGTGTTTGTGTGCGCCGTCTTTATAGCCAAATTATTGACAGCTGCTGACGGTCTGAGTGTGTGAGTTAAGAGTAGAAGGCATTTGCAAGCGTCTAATACTACAAAAGTGAAGGTGAAAGCAGTAGGTGCTCGTGTGAACGCCTTAAATGCTGCTTCATTTTTGTGTGTTTTGGTTCTTCCATTATTTATATGGTTCTAGCGCAGGTGTAAAGGCGCCTATCGGATAGACGTTTTTAGACAAGGTGTGTTGGAACACTTTTTGAGGGCCAATGGACGTTAAGAGATAGAAGTAGAGAGTAGCTAGAGAAAAAAATAACAATTTGGAATAAATAAAAATTGGTAAGTAGAGAAAAACTTAGATTGAAGCAAATAAAAATAGAAATTTTTTCAATTGTGAATTGAATTTTTTACCAAAAATAAGATTAAAAATATTTTAAAAATTTGCACGTTATTGTCTGGGACTCATTTTCTTGCGGTCGCCTCTGCGCGACTTTGGCGTGAATGTGTGGGTGTGTGAGCGAAGAGCCGCTTGCTGTACACCAGTACAGTTTCAAATAAATCATAGTTATGTGATGAAAAATCAGAAAAATATTGTTGAAAACTAAATTAGTTTAAATATTAGAATTAGTGTAAGCGTTGCGTATATAAAAGAGCCAAAATTGCAATCTAAATGTCCACATAATTTCATTCATTTAATATTATCATATTTTTCAATTAAATATATTTCCATTTTCCCACAGTTTTTGTATCGCTTTCGCTGTCTATAAATAACTTAGCGAAAATATATTGACCACAGTTTACGTAATATTAGTGCGGCAATAAAAAATTACCGTCAAAATATTATTTTTTTTAGTGCAATTTTCATGCAATTTTACTTTCAAATTTTTTCATAATTCAACCGCGCGCACGCTCCTCTAATCCTTTATCACAAATTCAGCCGCAAAATGTGAGTAAATCATAGATAAACGCGAAAAATAACTAAGTGAATTAGTAAATTGCATGAAGGGAAAACTGGAAAACTTTGGCAAATTTTCATTGAACGCGTTGCCAACTGTTTGCCGGCGCGGAGTGCCAGCACCGAGCGCATACAGTTTATAATAATCATAGTGCATTAGGGCTAAACATGCGATAACAGGATGCAAGAAAAAATTAAATGAAAACGAAAAAGTTAAAATTCAAGCGTGAAAAAAGGGAAAAACGTAAATAAAAAACTAAAATGTGAAGCAAACAACGCAAATTGCTGCATTTGCTCGCTGATATTTCGCACATATTGCACACACTTATACGCTCGAGAGTTTTCAGCACAAATACATACATACACACAGCAGTTGCCAGCGGCAATAACCAATTTGCTAAGCGGAAACATAACTTTGGTTGTGAAAAGGGCGAACGGCACAAAAAGTGCATTTTTGAATTTTTCATTTTTGGATTTTTTTTTTTTTTGCTTAAGTTCGCTAAAAAGTCGCCCAGCATTTATTTAGCGGCACATTGACAGGCGCTTTTCATCAATACGCCGGCATGCCAGCAACAAACCGGAAGCAATTAGGTGCGAAAAAAGCAGTCGAAATGGCAGAAAAAATGAGTAACATAAAATCAGGCGCACAGCAAGCAGCAGCTTAAAGCGCGAGAAGTAATAAAAACTTAACATTGCAAACAAAAATGCAAACAGTTGAAGCGAAATTGCTGTGCTATGCATCGAACTCTGTACTTGTGCGTATGTGTGCGTGTACTGGTTCAGTGTTTGTGTGAGCCAACCTTAAGGACATGTTCATAATCAAAGTACCGGTGAGCTTTTGGCGCCGCCCTGCAGCTAAAGTACTAAAAGAAAAACAAAAACGAAAAGTTGATGGAAAAAATTAAATTTACGAACATAATTACCAGCTAATAAGGGTTAAATCGAACTCAACTGCGAAGAGTAAACTTCAAGAAATCAGAAGCAATAGAAATGAAAGTGAGATTTGAACAAAACTGTAATGTTCGATCCAAATTCACGTCGATGTGAAAGTAAAAAATGAGCAACATTTAGAAAAATGTGTTTGTAATGTGTGTATGGAGCGTGATTTCAAATTGAAAAAGTATACCGATGAGTGTGTATTTATAGATGTGGTGTGGTTAACAATGTGTGCGTGTATGTATGTGCATATAAATATGTGTTTATGTTCCCCAGTGGGCGGATATTCTGCCCACCTGAGATATGTGTAGTTATGCGCGCCTAAATTTAGGCAGGAGTGTGCAGATGTGCTTGTTAGCTCTCGTGTCAAACTCGAGGGAATATATGGCGGAAATAAAACCAGAAGACAGCGAAAGCTTAATGAAAAAAATCGTTTTAGTGTTGTTATGCGGTTGTTTTTGTTGTTATATTCAATATACGACGTATAAAGCAATTATGTAGACAAACAGGAAATTGAAGTATATTTTCAGGCGTTTCACAGACACATTTAACACGGCAAACGTGTAACAAAGAAAAAAAGCATTTTTTTTCTTTTTTGCTTTGGCAAATTGAAATATACGGTAAATATTTGTATATGTACATAGAAATATATTATATACTACAATACATAGCGCAATACTGAAATGAAACATATACGTACATGTCGCTGGGCAAAGTTTCGGGACTAGATGAGCGATCATTCCACTGCGAATTCGTTGTCATGCCTACAGTAGAAAATTAGAGAGTGGTACATATATAATTCAGATGTATGTGTATGTGAGAAGTTTAACGCTACTTGGAAACCCTTAAACGAAAACCGCCGAATATCACTTTAATGCTTCTCCACTTGAAAAAAAACCGAAAAGTGCCTCAGTAAAGGAGCATATAAAGTGGAAGCGATAAAGCAAAAGGCGCTTCAGCAGAAGGGTGCAGCACACGTTCGAAAGGGGAGTGCACCACAAATATGTTCAAGCGTCATCAACTCTCTTTGCTTTGAAGAAGTGAGCACAACTGCGCGGTTTACTCCCACTTCGAAGCATTATTTGTATATAGTACATATATGTTTCGGTAAGCTTCCGTTCGTAAGCACTTTATATAATATGGCATACGATTGAGGTTAACTGTGAAACACTTACCTGTTTTCAAAGTGTGATTTTGCGGTGAAATACCATTTGGCCTTGATGTCATTTTGCTTGCTATTCGTTGTGGAACGCTGGCGACAGTCTATTTTGGCATTTCGTTTGTTTATTTCAAGTGATTGTGGTTGCCGTTGTTATTGTTATTGTCGTTGTCAGATAATTATGGCCAGCACACAGTGCATGGAGCCGAAGGTCGGCATTGAAGCATAACGTAAAATCGCGGAGCGCCATAAAAAGAAAATTAAAAAAAGACAAAAACTTAATACAAGTTGCAATTCAATTTATTAATATTCGACAGCAGGTCAAACGATTTTATGCAGGCAATTATTGTTTCGTTGCAAGGGCGGAGATCGAATATAAAAAAGCAATATTTATTGAATAGGTTTCGCAAAAACAGTAAAACAAAATAAATTTTAGCAATTCTCCCACTTTTTATTTGAATTTGGAGTATTTCTTGTTTGCACTGGCGCTCCTTATGACGCTGCCCATGCAATAGAAATAGCACTTCAATGCTCTCACTTAAAATTTACGAACAGAATATTCTTAAAATCAGCATCAGTGGAAGCAGCTACAATCGGTCTGCCTCAAAGTGCCCTAGAGCGGGAGGGAGGCTTGTAAATTGGATAGTATTTGCAGCAATCAATCAATCAATAAATGCTCTTACAATTTTACTAATGAAAGAAATATGCAAATAAAATAAAATATTCGTTTACTCAAATTGACAAAGGAACTCAGCAACTGACCGAATATCTAAACTAATGAAATATTCTGTATTTCTATGTATTTGCGAGAGCTCATACATGAGAAGAGATCGACGCCGAAAGGAAATTGTTTAAATTTGTAGAGCACTACATGTAGTTAAACATATACAGTATTTCATATTTTAAAGTTTTATTTGAACAAAAATTGGTAAAAATTACAAAATCTCTTTAATAACTTAGCTGAAGCGAGCTGAAGAGGGAAGTAAACACGTAAGTGAAGCGGCATCATATATTTTTACGTACGGTAGTTTTAAATAAAATGTAATATTTAGTGCGTGTGTATGGCAGTGCGTCTGTAAATATTTTGCCTAACATCGATTGGGCAGCAAAAACAAAACGAAGTGGTCAGCTTATAAAAATGTTGCATGCAATCAAGCGTTCATCTGAATTTCACCTAAATTCTATGGCACGCAGTTGAATTTCTGAAGCGGCAGCTTAAAAATAATAATATTAGTGCGCCACCACTACCACCAACGCAACCACAAATGGCTATGAGCCTAGCTGGTGCTTATAAAGTTCCATTTCGTTGTATTGCCTTTAATCTTCACTATTTACACACACACATGCACACTCATACAGACAGTGCACGAGTACGCGCTTCACCCGTGGCCTCAGCCGCAGCCGGAGCACGCACATAAATCTTAAATGTTTACCTAACAATCAATAAATCTAATTGAGTGGAGAAATGACAAAAGCAAGGCGAAAACAATCTGAGAGAGTGTGAGAGACTTCAAAAACTACCTCAAATCTATTGAAAATGCTAAAAATTTCATTCTTTTTGGATTTGCTAGAAAAAAAATACCGTCATATAAGGAACCGTTAGCAAATGTCTGGCGCCCAACAGACGCGAGCAGGCGAATTGCCGACGCAAGTGTCACAACAAGTGCGATTAGTGCACGAGAAATAACGGTTAAGGCCTCAAACAAGGCAACAATTGCGTACAACAGCTTCTGTTAACCTTAAAAGCACACATACAGACATATAGACATGATTTTGTTTTTCATTCTGTGCACAGAAAGCAGTTGTCATCGACGACGGCACACAACGGTATAACAGAAAACTTTTCACCGCAAAGCGACATTTATCTTGTTCAACTCACGCCAAGCGCCACAAATTGCAGCTCAAGTCCAATTTGCGTGGTTGTTTGGGTGTGTGTGCTTCGCATTTGACTATCAAAAATATCAGCTGTACCCACTGGTAATAGCAGCCGCCAAGTTCGATAGCACAATAAACTATAGACACCCGCCCAAAGGCGTAGGCGAGGGACGCATGTGTGAAAATTTGTACCCACAACATTCTTAAACATTAACATCGCCAACAATGACGTATTTTTTCGACTATGCTGAATTAGGTTTGCTCCTCAAAACTACCTAAATCCGCTTGATGAATCCTACAAATAAGAATTCAACTGTCATTCTACCTTAATGCTTTAATTGTTGTTTTTGTAGCGGCAGAAAACACTCCCGAAATACTTTAGAGGATTGCTGTCGAGGTAACAGTTCTTAGTCAAAGATAAATCCGGTTGCGTTCCGGTTGTGTAACATAGACCCGCGAATTGCGCATACGCCGTGCACAAGAACTGCTAAGCCGCTTTTTTAAAGCCAGAAAACCCAAACTTGAGTGTAGAGCATTCAGACAAATCAGATACAATTCTATCATTGAGTTTTAAAGGAGGTCACGGTCGGTCATCCCAAAATATATGTACTGAAAACCCTTGAAACAATTCAAGAAGTTACGATTGCTTGGTGTCGTTTAGTAAGTATAGACCAAAGTAATGTACTATTAAATAATTGCATATTTTACACTCACCTCCTCTTCCCCGTCCAAATAGTAGTAGAATTGCTGATTGGGACTCAAGAATTTTTGCAGCAACTCCTTGGCCACACGCACCGACATGTCGCCCTGCACGAACGGATGCTTCAGCAGGCATTCGGCAGTCGGACGCTTTTTGGGATTCTTCGTCAGCGCCGTCTTCACGAAATTGTGAAATGTAGTGCTCCACTTCTCCTTGTTGCTCAATGTGGGCGGCTTGAAACCACTTTTCGACATTAGGAACAACGCACGCATCGGATGCAAATCGAACATTGGCGGCTGGAGTTCGGCAAGTTCTGCAAATATAGAAAAGCAATCACGAAAATTACAAAGAAAGCTGAAAATATGTATGATGGGTTGGCGCACAAATATTTTTATTGAAACATGATGCTTGGTTCATGCAGGGGATTAGCAAATAAACACTCAGATTTCACGAGACAATTCATCTTACAAAACCAAAGAAGCACAACCACTTAAATTTCACGGCATTCGTTGGCCATTACCATAAAATACACATATAAGCACAAATTGTATTGGCTGTGACAAACGTCAGACACAATTGCCATAAAAATTAAGTAGAAATAATTGTGGGCCATCTTGGAAGGCGTATGAATCCCCTTTGCCTTCGATGCGTCGGGCTTCTAATGAAATTAATGTTGTGCCATTACGGGACTATCGAAAGGATGCTTGTGTGTGTGAGCACGCATGGGCAAGACATATTACTAATATATGTGCCTATAAGGCTTACGTACTCACACGCATCTACACGGTCCTAAGCCGTGCGTACAAATGCGTTGTGGGTTTATTGAAATTCTGCGGCGAGTGAACCTATTAAAAGTGCAATAACTTAGGTATCAACTGCCGGCTGTAACTTTATTTACAACAACAAAAACAACTCTAATATAATAACAAAAAATATTCGATTAGGGTACATGTACTTGGCTGAGAAATAATTTATGACGCTCTCAAATTACATACGTGCGTTCTTCGAATTATTAATGGCAAACGTGCCAATTGAAATGATGTAAACTTACCAATTGCCGTTATGCCAACCGCCCATATATCACATAATTGATTGTAGCCCCCTTTACGCTCCACGGCGGCCACCTCCGGCGCCATCCAATAAGGTGTACCTGTGCGAAAGAGAGAGAGAGAGAGAGAGTGATGAGAGATGTATCTATATGATATTGTTTAAATAAATAGGGTGTCATAATTTTCAGTTGAATTAAATTGTTTTTAATTTCGGCTCAAAGTAACTGCCATTTAATTGAGTTGCATTCTCGCACTTCACAGCTGCAGTCACTCATGACGCATCACTCAGCACGCCTAACTCTCGTCCGGCACCAATGTGCTGTGGTTTATTTACAGCATTTTAATTACAAGTTGATTTAATGAATTTGTGGCAGCAACAACTTCGAACAAACTTGCAATTAGTACGGCTGCATAAATTATAGCCGAGGGCAACAGCAGGCACAACAACCGCACGCCGTGCACACTAGGCCCAGTAGTCGAAGTTATGGCACTCTGGGCGCACATGGCGTATGAGTGATGCGCGTTCGTTCGACAAGTGACTGAAAAATTCGCCAAAAGTTAGTTCGGTAATATAAGGGGGCATACAGCTAATACTAAGATACGGAATTGCCACACTAAAAGCAGTTTTGAAATGTTTGATTGATTTTTTAATCAAAAATACGGAAAGGAGTTTAGCGATAGTTTACACTGCTACTGCTACAAAACTGCTTCATAAGTAGCATTTAAACATTTACTCGAACATTGAGAGTTTAAACTACAAGTATACATAGAACCTGAAGTTGTGAACCTGATTTACACGTAAACTAGTAAAAAACTGATTTCAGTTTCCAAATACCGAATATGAAATAACGTGTAATGTCACACCGTATATCTTCCACAGGCCATTGCGTCATCTGCACACATTCTGCAACACAAAGAAGGCGTGTCGTGTCGTGTGAGCTTAAATTTACTACAATTTATACATTTAATTGGCGACATAGTTGAAGGGAGCATGGCACTTGGACAAGCAGAATATGCAAGAGTACTATTTAATTCAATTAAATTGTTGCTAAATACAACCGAGAAATTCTCTGCATTCATACAAAATTTGAGGACGAACTAATGGCAAAGAGAATGCAATAAAATACGATTTAATGTAACTCTTCCTACAGATATGATTACAATGCTGCATTTAGGAGAATAGGCAGAACAGAAATTTCAAAATATTTTAAAGAAGATTATTGCCTTCAGTGTTATGAAATGTAGTCGATTAAATCGGTGTGCTCATGATAGGACATTTCTGGACACTTCGCTCTAATATTCCGCAATGCATGAAAATGTTTCAAAACTAAGAATTTGGCTTAAATATGCTAGGGCATTAAGAAAACCAAACAAACAAAAAAAAAATTAAATTGCCTTCATACATCTATCATCTTCCACGCGTGCTTGCTGAATGAGCCTCAATAAAGCGCACATCACTCATACGCAGTGTGGCACACGCGGCCGCAGGGTCTGTGGATCTGTGGTTATTTGGCACATAAAGCCAAGTGAATGCACGAGTGGTCGGGTGACTGAATGAATGAATGAAATACTGTCGGTTTATAATGCACTGCGGCGCTCGCTTTCAGCAGCAGCAGCAGCAGCTTAAGAATGCAGCCAATTGAGTGCGCGTTTAGAGGGTGAGCAGTGGTGGGGGTGATCGCACTCTGGCAAATCCACCGCCAAAACTAGCACTTGAAATATCACTGAACTTTTAAGCCACCGCAATAGTTATGCGGACTTCTGCTGAATGATGACGCAGCCGGATGAAAAGAAAGCGGGGATGGCAAGATGTGGCAGGAAGCAGCAAATAATAGAATATAATGCGAACACGAGGTGAAAATAAAGCAATCTCAGATACGAACGAGTTCTTTGAACTAAGATGACATGTCAATAAAGGCACTTTACTGCTGGCATTCGCTCAGTGCGACAGTTCGACGGGCGGTAAAGCAGGACTATAGCAGCTACAAAAGCAACGCGGACGATTGACACAGAAAAGCGTAAAGAATACTAAATGAAAGCATTTAAAGCTGAATGCTGAACGCTGAACAGCAATGCAAAACGCTAAACCAACTCTCAATAGCAGATATGATATGAAAGCGCCAGCAACGCCATAAAAAACGCCGCAGTGAGAAGTAGCGCGTACGCGCTTTAAGCTTACAGCACATGCTCGCACACCGCTCTGCGTCGTCGAGGTCAGAAATGTGTGGAGCCAGTTGCCGAAAAATCCGCTTAGATGCGCTTTGCCAACAACTAAGCGCCACTTAGCCGCAACTGTAGCGAGTAAACAGTCGAGCAAGTAGATACCTCTTTTATTTAAATAGAAATGTTAAATGGAAAATATTACGGCAGATGGACACACAACCGCGTTGTTTAATGCGTGCTGTCGGCACTCGCTTAACGTGGTACACGACTGCTTAACGCTGAGATACTTAGTTATTAAAGTGGAACAGCCAGCGGCAGCAGAGGTTAAGCAAATACACACTTCGCCTTAAGCGTTGAAGCAGCAAGAGGTAATAACTGAGAAGCATTTCAAACATTAAGATGTGTTTACACACACCTACACCGTGGAATTTTCAGACGGACATAAGACATAATTTGTGGTATTCTACAAATCCTACAATCTAGTGAAAATATTAAATTTTTACTGCAGAGAGAAGTGTGAGCCAGTAGACGAATTTAAAGCACATCAGCCCCCTTCACTGAATATGCTCCCTGACTGGCTGCACTGCTTAATTTTTTTAGTTTGTCATATACAAAAATATGATATTACATAAGAGATTTTGTTTGTAAAATGTCCACTTATGACTGCTACGCTGCGACGAGTGCGCCTTCGCTGATAACGTATGAGTATTTTGCGGAGTTGTCATCCTGCAGCGGACACTTCCAACTTACAGGTAGTTACCTCACAAACAACCAAAGCGCCATAGCTGATAGGAATGCTGATGAGCACATTATGTGAGTGTTGTGGCAGCAACACATGTGTCGCGTGCGAAGTGTGGCACGTAACAGGGGTCTCAACTCATATTGTATTTATTTAGGTAGGCATGTCATGTCTTGTTCATATTTGAGCAACACCATGAGAATCACTTTAAAGCTTACACACACACGCGCGCACATATTCGTACAGTTGCCGCAGTCACAGCAAGCATGGGGGTAGGTAAATGTTATTAAACTGACGACAGCTGCAGGTGATGTTACGTATACGCAGCGTGGCACAAGCGAAGAACGAGTTGGTTTGTCGAGTCTCTTCGTTGCATGAAGGTAATGCACTTTTGCATGTATTACTGCTGCTCTACACTAAAGAAGAGTTGAAAGGTTACTGTTCCACTAATGTAAACTCTTTGTTGCTGCCGTTGTCCTTGCCGAGTTTATACGAATTTCCTAGCAAACTGCTTTGTTAGCGCGTCGCAAACATACTTGGCAAGTTTGTGTGGTTGCGTGTACATGTTGGCGCGTATGTACTACCGTTTAGTGTCATTAACAAGTCAGCAACAAAGATGCAGCATGGAAATCAGAGTCATCCGGTTGCAGCGAGGAGAGACCGAGACGCCAATTGCCGTTGATGTGCAGACGTACAGCAAAGAAGTTGAAAGGTGGCACAACAAAAGCATCATCATCCACAACAACAACAAATGACTAACGGTCCACATCATTAACACCAAACAAACATTTGTTGAAAAGGTGCAAAGAGCGAAGTGGAAAGCCTTCAGAATGTGGCGTAAAGTTGGCTGAGCAGCGGTGAGCGCCCGATAGCAAAGCAAAATAGACACAAAATATTAGATACAAACAAACACCTGCATATAAGGTAAGAGCAGGTGTAGAATCAGAAGCGTCCAATTGCGAAAATTCAAACAGAAACAGCAAAGGGGAGGGCTCACATATTGAAAGAGGGAGGAATGTTCAGTTGTGTTGTGTTGTTGCAAGTCGATAACTTCGTAAATTTAGACTATCACAACCCCAAACGGTGAGAGAGCTTTAGCTCCTTGAATTTGATTTTGACTTTCGTTTATAATTAAACATTTATTATGAATACCGCAGTTCGTCACAGCTGTCTGTATTTTCATAGAAACAGGCATACAATCGCATCATTTCACCTCCTGAAATGTTTTGGTACGTGAATGGATTTCTATGCGCCAGTTAGGATAACTTCTATTGCTTCGTGCATAGCTGAGTTGAGTTTGTGGCACATTTCCACGCCATAAATTCACTAAACCAGCAAAGGTAGAAATTAGCTGCTGCTAATGCCACACATTCAGCTCGCGCATTCGTCGTCACAGCTTGGTCTAGGCAACGCGTGTTGTTTGCATGCAAATACTTGGCTCTGCATGTGAGCGCCATGCCATGATTACTTAAGTTTAATAGTGTGTGTGTATGTTTCGCCTGATTTAGTCTTTCAATTGTCAATGTAAACTAAGACCCATAGCCTACGTACACGCGCGCACACAGAAGTAAGACGTTGTACGATGGCAGCGACTTTCATGATCTCTCACTTGTATACGTGTACGTGTTTGTGCGTGTGTTATGCACTATTTATCCGCACAGAAGACGCAGTTGAAAGCGATTCAGCGCATGGTACTTTGCGCCACTGTAAAGGCAAAGTATTTAGTTTTTATGCTCGCTACAACCACTTTGCCTTCTATCAAATTAGCCTAATGACACTCCAGAACGTTTAAGTGATTTAATGACAAGACAGAGTAAAAAGCGTTTATTTGCTGCCAACGCCCATTCAACATCCGACAGATACAATTCCGCGTGCATGTTTATTTCCAATGCTTATTCATAACTCGGCACACGCCCTCACTCAGGCACATACACACACACACGCAAACATGCATGAAAGCATGGCGGAACGTCAACTGCCAGGCGATAGGCAGGCACAATATGTCAAATGGAGGCTTCCTACTTGCTTTTTGCGCGCTGGCGAAAACGGTGGCTTGGCGGGGTGCGGTGTATCAGCGCCGGCGGATGGCAACCGACCAGAATTGATGTGTTCGTGGTTGCATTTAGCGAATCTGTCGTGGTGGTGTTGTACAGCGTTACACGTGAACGCACACATACACACTCGCATGTAAGTATGCAT